TCTAGCTAGACTATGACTAAAACAACTACTAGTCTAGCTCCACTAACTAATTCATGTAACACGTGCAAAACACATGTTACATTAGGCCCTACAAACTTGTCACATTGGACACAAAGCCACATAATGCCATTTGCATGCAGGGTTGGAATTTTGGCTGAAAATCTAGTGGACAGCAGGATCACCAACTTGAGAAAGTCGGTGATCCGGCACAAAAGTTGGTGGTCTGCTTATTTACTAGCAGTGAGTAACAAAATGGTATATAAAAATAACCATTGGCAATAACAGCATACATGTAACATAGAGTTAGTCAAATAATATATTTCAAGCTCCAGGAATGTCGGGGGAGCTTCTGGGAAAGGTTTTTCTCCTCCCCAGTCCTGGGTACATGGGGATGCATAGATAAATGCTGCCGCACATCTGCAAAGTTACAAGTGCCTAGAATCTTGAAGTATATACAGTTTACATTGCTTCTAGATATCTAACTGAATTAAAATAGTCCACTTTCTACGTAAAGAAAAGTGACGAATTCAATTAACAGCTTTGATTACGTGCGTGTCAGGTGTCACTGGTCGTGCCCTCACTCCCCACGATAACCCCTGCGACATATAAACTTATTGTTATGCGGTCATAAAAACACTGGGCTACGCTACATGCTGCAATCGATTTCTTAGACTGTCACGAGGTTTTGTTCGTGTGGCGAATCATGATTGGAGGATGTTTTGGATACCCCGTCTACGTTCAGGAACGGAGCGTATTGGAATGCACTCCCATTTACAAGTCTGTCTAAACTGCCGTTGCGATAACCGTAGTATTTCAGCGTAATATGAGGGGGAAAAGTGCGGGTCAGGAGGACCGGCAGTTTCGTAGAGGTGGTGGCCGAAGCAAAAACTTGGTGGCCTCGGGCCTCCGGGTCGGCACTAATTTCGAACGCTGTTTGCATGCCACATTTGCAAAAACGCATGGGCACATATGGAACCACGCTAACACGGCGACAGGTTTTAAATCAGCATTATCTCCCTTTACATAGGAAAGCCGTGTCCGCCGAGTGTTGCAATAAATCGAAATCTGAGCACTTGTTTTGCGCTGTGTTAACGCCAAACAGAAATTGTACTCGCCCAAAGATTTTATTTTGGGCCTGTAATATTTTGTTTTTGGTATTTTTTAATCGCCCAGCAGAGGTTTTGGTCGCCATTGGCGACCAGGCGACCGGCTGTGTCGAGCACTGCTTCTCCCCAAGATGTGTAAGTATACGAAGTTTGCTAGCGTTAGGTCAATTAGGGGCCGAGTTATAGAGCAGAATGAAAATATGATGAAGGTCAAGATCAAGGTCAATGTCAAATAAAGGTTGCAGTGACCTGGTTTCGGTACGCGACACACATTCTCCCCAAGATGTGTAAGTATACTAAGTTTGGTCGTGCTAGGTCAATTAGGGGCCGAGTTATAGAGCGGAAGGGAAATATGATCAAGGTCAAGGTCAAGGTCAAATAAAAGCCGCAGTGACGTGGTTTTGGTACGCGACACACATTCTCCCCAAGATGTGTAAGTAATACTAAGTTTGGTCGTGCTACGTCAATTAGGGGCCGAGTTATAGCGCGGAAGGGAAATATGATCAAGGTCAAGGTCAAGGTCAAATAAGGGTCGCAGTGACCTGGTTTTGGTACGCTGTGCACCTTCTCCCCAAGATGTGTAAGTAGACCATGTTTGGTAGCGCTAGGTCAATTAAGGGTCGAGTTATAGAGTGGAAGGAAAAGTATCTGCGGCGGCGGCGGCTGGACAGACATGAAACCATAGTATCCCCGCCAACTTCCTCGCGAGGGATACGATAATAACACCAGTAATAAATATTAACGTGCCACCATCTTTAGACCACCATTATTCGTGGTGTCGACGCGTACGTACACCTTGCTATGTAGCTACCTGATCATGTACATGGGGCAGCAGCATTTCTCCATGAGGGGCTTAAAGCAGTACTTGCCACTCCTGTAAACAACAACAACAACAACAACAATAACAAAAACTACATCATCAACAACAACAGCAACACCACCACCAACAACAACCACAACAACAAAAACCACAACTACAAAAACCACAATAACAACAACGACGACAACAACAACAACAACAACAACAACAACAACAACAACAACAACAACAGCAACAACAGCAACAACAGCAACAACCACAGCAACAATTGTTGGTTTACACTCGTTAATCAATTGTTACCTTGTTTTGTTCTGGACCTTAGTTTTTCTAAGTGACATTATGTATTAAGGTGTGCTAAATAGATTTTCAATATGATGCCTGTGAAAAAATCTACTCTAGACAGGTTTTTCACGCGTGCCCGCCAAGATCGCCAACTTTGTGGCACTTCGTTTCCAAGCATCGTGTTTTAGAATGCCTATGTCACAGCAATGATTGGCTAGAGCAAGCACCGTCAATTACGCCGGGGGAACGGAGTTGATTACGACCGATTGGCTATGACCACCATCGCCGACGGCGATTCGCGCTCCTCCGAGACCCACCCGTCACCGTGGTTACGCACCTCCTCCATCCTCGTTCTAGCAGCATCTCATAGTCGCTGAGGGTCATGGTGTGTACCCACATCCCTGCAGGAGAAACATATCCGTTGTCATAACGATTACACACTTCCACCGTTTGTATTGGGTTATGTACGTAGAGCCTAGAGGCGCGGTAGACTAACTGATGAATTTTTAATTAAAATCATAAAATAAATCGATAATTAATTATCGCTTAATCGTGTCTCAAGTCTCAACATTGTTTTTACCTGAGTCAGTGATGCTCGTAGGGTCTGTCCCCCTGACCTCTGTTTGACCTGGCTCGTTTAGCTATTTCTGACTAACGCTAACACTGGCCTAGCCCGACCAGGCTGTGCGACGGATTGTCTATACATTCTAACCCTAGCAATACCGTTTCTTGGAGCTAACACTGGCCTAACCCTATATATAGTATATATATTATATATTATATATACAGTGCTCGAAATAAGCGTTGTCCGGTTGTCCGAGACAACCACAATTTGCGCCGGACAACCTAACCAGTCTGAGACATTGTCCGGTGGACAACCAAGAAAAATGTGACGACAAACGCACTTTATTTATGTTTTCCTCAGTGGTTCTCCAAGAGCACTTATAGCCTGGCGGCCCGCCATTAATCTATGGTGTGGGAAAGCGACGCATACCAGCTGCTATTTCCAACACTGGTATATGTCAGGTTTTCTGATTTATGAGAGGTGAATTCGATTTGGAACCAGCAAACCAGCAAGTTCACCCCTACATTTTGGTATTTTTATTCCATTATTATTTTGAATTTTCCGAAGGCTTTGCCCATGTAAAACAAACAACAGTGGGGATTCATGTTGATCCAAAAGTTAAAAAAAAAGAGAATTGTCGTGACGTAGTCAGAATGAAGGCTGCACATACTCAAAAGTGCCGCAAATACCATCTCCTGCGATCTACATTTTAAACAATTTCTGG